GCGCCCCCCCCCCCCCCAGCGGACAACAGCCAGGTTCGGCTGCGTAGACAAGGTTAGGCCTCCTGGAAGCCGCCTAGCTGGCGTAGACAGAACAGGAAACCGAACACCGCTCCCACCTGAAGGCCAAGATCTCGCGGGAACACCCACCTGCGCTCATCCTTTGGCGACCCCGCAGCCTTCCCGCCAAATCCACGTCCAATCAGAACGCGCCACACTCTGGGAGTCACTTGCTGGCCAATTGGGAGCGGGATTCCAGACCTTGGCCCGCCCCATGGTGCTCCAGACCAATGGGCGTTGGCGGCGGCGAGTCCTAGGAGCGCGCGGCGCGGCGCGGCAGCAGCAGTTGGGAGGCTGCAGCTGTTGAGGGCGGAGTGCGGTGGTGGCGCTCACCATGGTACAGCCGGGCGGGCGGGAGGCCTGGAGGCCGTGTCCCGGGCAGATGGGTGGGGGCCAGGTTTGAAAGGATGCCCGAGGAGCCTCGTGTGGGCGTCCGCTCCCCGAGCGCGCGGCCAGAGCAGAGGCTGAAAAGGAGAAACTGCGAAGGTGGCGTTCTCGGCCATGGAGCCACAGTTCCCACGAGTAACAACATCCGAGTCCGAGAGCCGCGGCAGTCAGCTCGCCTCGGCACGTGGTCTCTGGGCTTAGGGGAGGCAGGCAGTCCTGGCTGCAGTGGTCGGGCCGCCATGGACAGTGGGCACAGCGGGTAGGGCTGGCCTCCGAGGGTGGCGGGGGGCCGTGCTGGGGAAGGAGGTCATCTGCTGAGAAGGGGACACAGGACTTGGTCTGGAGGAACTTTCAGAGAGGAAATGGAGCCAAGTACAGAAATGTAAACAAACCAGCAATCCAGGCAAGGTCGGCAGTGCGCTCGCTTTCTGTTGACAGCAAGGAATGACATCCCCGAGCACTGCAATTCCTTTGACTGTTAGACAGTCAGATGGACGTGGCCTTACAAACCACGGAGCTCCCCAGCCGCATTTTGTAAATGAAGACATTGGGGTATTTCTTTGGATCACAGAGCTGGCTCTGATCACACTGGGTCTGAGAGAGTAGAAGGACACAACAGGCATCCTGTGAAATACAGTGGATCTGGATTCAAAGTGAATAGTGTGCATTTGCAAATGGTGCGGTTGGGCTTCCCTGTTGGCACAGTGGTTGAGAGTCCGCCTGCCGATGCAGGGGACGCGGGTTTGGGCCCCGGTCCGGGAGGATCCCGCATGCAGCGGGGCGGCTGGGTCCGTGGGCCATGGCCGCTGGGCCTGCACGTCCGGAGCCTGTGCTCCGCAACGGAAGAGGCCACAGCGATGAGAGGCCCGCGTACCGCAAAAAAAAATAAATAAATAAAAAAGTTCACTAAACTTTAGACTGGTTTCTTCTTACCCTCACCTCCGGTAGATTACTTCTCCTGGGGCTCTACGAGGGATGAATGTAATCAGTCATCGGTGTCATCCTCAGAAGGGTTTGCCACTTTCTGGAATTTGGTTCATTTATATTTCTTTGCTCTGTGATTTTTTCATTTTTTTAACTACTGGCACGGGAACAGAATTCTCTTGTGGGTGGATTTCAAAGGACTTCCGGGGTGCCGATGGAGTCCTCCTCTGGGGGAGGGATTTCGTTGTCACTAAAGATCTTTCCCAAACCGAATGCTTCCCTCTGGGATGATGTTCGGGGACTGCTGCATCAAGCTGGTCTCTCCTGCTCTGAGATTTGGTGCTTGTATAATAGAAAACAGGACTTCAAGTTCTGAGGACTGTATGTAAGTCAGAATTTAGTGTGGGTGGCACACGTCAAATTTCATGTGATCACCTCTGTGTATTTGTAAGGATGATGTGTCTAAAGTCAGACATGTGATTAGGGACTAGAGTTACATTCCCGGTAGGAAAGAAACCGTACATTCAAAATAGATACTCACAGAACAATCTTTAAGAAGATACTATTTATAAAGATACGGGCAGGGTTTAAGGAAACCACCAAAGGACAGTGCAGTATCCCAGCACTTGTGCCATCTGGGAGCCATTAACTCCTAGGCTGGAAGAGGTGAGGGGATGGAGTGCTATGAGAAGCTCAGAGGGTAGGTTTATGACAAGCGCTGACTGCTGACACTCTGTGCCCTTGTAAAGGAACTCAAGCGACTCAAGGCAGCCCAGCAGGGAGGGAGCCAGGGTCAAGGACCCCGACCACACCTTCCTCTAACCTCCAGCTCTTGCTGGTGCCTGACATTGGCTAAAGCAACCAGAAGCCAGGGGACACAGTCCACATGGGTCAGCCTCCTTGAGCACAGAGCTGGACAGAGAACAGAGGCTAGACCTAGAGGGGCAGATGAAACACACACAGTGACCACCCATGCTTGGGCCACGGTGGCCTCTGTCCCAGTCCACTTTTCCTTTCCCAACTCATTACCACTTAACCTTATCATTTGGTCAGAACACAATAAAAACTGCTATATTCTTCAGAGAATTACTGTGACTAGCTGTAACATGGAGTTTATTATTGACATTATACGGCTTGCAAAATTTTAAATAACCGAATTTTTGTATAGTAGCAAACACTTAGGTTCTGGGGCTAATTCTGGCATTCACTATCAGCTAGAGTGGTTCAGAGCAAGCCAGTT